TCATGGTGGTTTGAGTAACAAACTTGAGATTTGTGAGTAGGACCAGCTGGTAGAAGCCTTTCCCAAATGTTCTCACCCACAGGACATGTGGGCCAAGTCCCTCAACAGAGGGAAGAGAGTCATTAGGCCATGGGAGCCTGTGGTAGCACCTGCCAAAAACTCCCTGCTCGGTGCTCCATGCACTGTCTAACAAGCGGCCACTGGATACACACCTTGACGGTGCCAAGGTGGTGTGATTCCTGGTTGCCAACCTAGGAGCTTTCCTTCTCTCCACAGCCCCAATGACCGTATTAATTCTGAAAACCTCAAATGCAGGATTACTTAATAGTAAATTTGACATTTACAAGACTATGTTTTCTTAACGCTAAAATTGGCTGTAAAAACTCCAGCGATGTTTCCCCAGCACTATGCAATGACACCATCTGGTAGTTAATGATTAGTGGGATTTACAGAAGAGAGAGGCACATATTTGAATAACCATTTCACTGCTGGCAAACAAGCTGAGTAAGGCAAACCTGAGCTGTATCCAAAGGTCACTTCTGGACCTGCTGCTCAGACAGTCCGCAGGGACCTGCATGGGCACCGGGATTAGGAAATATCAGCACTGCCACAGAAATGAAGAAATAAAAACTTAGAGGCCAACTTCTGCCCACCTGCAGATCTAAGCACAGATCATGACCTTTAGAAACACCGAGGTGAGCCCCCTTGTCTGTGCCTGCAATATTCTCAGATATCCAAACAAGTTTCTGCTATAGCCCTTGTGAAATTCAAGCTCAAAAGAGAATACAAAAACACTGGCTACCTTATCACTGTTTACATTCAAAAAAAATTACAAGAAGGTCTGCCCTGGAGAGAAAATTTGCTGCCTTGTGTCTCAAACAACCGTGAGAGATAACCCTGAACATCCAAAGCATGGTCGRTGCAGAAGCTCTTCCCTTCTCCCGTTTCCATCCTCAGAGTTCAAAATGATTGAGGCTGGCAAGCACGGATACCAAAACAACTAGATATCTGCTCAGCTGTCACAGAAAGAGAGAAAACAAAACTCGGGAGATTCAGTGAAGGAATCGGCAGTACACTGAAAAACTGCTTGTTGCACCGGGTTTTTCCTGTCTCCTGCTATAAACACTGCTTCTTAAAGGCAGATTAGGGCATGTCCTATTTTCTTCCTCCCCCCTCCTGCCTTCCTGGTGTTTTCCATCCAGCTCTTACATAATTAGTTTATGTTTCAGTRTTTTTTATAGATCAGGCTCCTATTGGGCACTGACCTCCTCAGTGCTCCAAATTTCCCTGTGCCCTTCAGAAATGTTGTGCAGATTTCTACCTCCCTCCCACACAGATGGGTTTTCCCCWCTGTTCTTGGTCAGAATCGCCCAAAATCCCAGATGGCATTTTTTTTTTTTTTTAAACAGACTGGATAAAAAAGGGAAAATATCTACATGTATCAGGCAAAACAAAGGAAAAGCAGCCCCATATGAAGTGTCTCCTATTCCACAGTGTCGACAAGAGGCAGGAAAGATGAGCAGGTCCCCCTGCACGGAGCACACGGGCAGGCGCTGAGGGTGTCCCCAGGAGCCCTGCTCTGTCCTCCACCCCCGCTGTGTGTGCTCAGCAAATACAGGCAGGCCCTCCAGGGACAGACAGACAGGGCATGATGCTCGCAGCCATTTAGCTGATTAGCCAGAAAACACAGGTCACCTTGTGGAACTCCCCCCTTTAAAGAATTAAGCAGCAAGTCAATGAAAGGACTTTATATGCCATTAAAGCACCTTTCAACTCCCTACTGCCCTTCATTATTTTTAATCCATGCATAGATATGCAATAGCTCCTGATAACACAGATTTGAGTAGCCCCTGATAAAACAGTATTTGAGCACTTCATTCACTGCCCCCAGTGAAAGAAATGCTCTCCTATTCCTGCCTCACAGAGAGGGGAGCAAGGCAATGGCAACTTAGGAGAGCTACCCAAGGTGGCAGGAGAAAGCTGTGGTCCAGCAAAGGACTGCACGAGGCCAAAGGGATGCCCTATTATCCAAGCTGTCCTCCCTCCAGCCTGGCTCTGTTGTCCTACTTCTGGGAAGGGCAGAGGCAGCAAAGCAACTTCAGGACAATTCAAGTCCTCTGAGCAGAGCCAGGATTAGACAGCACAGGACAAAGCATGTATTTCACAAACAGGGAAACTTCCCCAGCATTTCTACAGTACAAAATATGAACCATATTTTTTATATCCCTCCACATGTCAGCACAGGTGTCTAAGTTACACTGCGAGAAAATGAACAGGGTCCGGGGGAGTTGCAAAAATGTGGTTTAGAAGAAAAGAACATTGAGTAGGCCTTTAACTGAAAACAGCACGGGTGCAAAGTTTATTTGAGTCACTTCATACAGATTGGTGTGTGATCTGGGAATTTCTGTTTCACATTAGCTTAAGTTCCTATTTCCAGCCTCAGAGGATTCAAAGTTATCAAAATCTCCGAGGCCGAAGCACACAGGAACCAAATTTGGTTGCCTGCRCTCACAGTAACACACTGTTCAAGCCCTGCCATTGCCGTCAGCGGCAGTAGCTAACGAATGAATCACTACCACGGAAGTTAAGATCTCAAATCCTAGTTTTTATAACTGCAAGTGGCCCAGACGTGAATCTCAGCTCATGTACAAGCTATGAGCTGTCTGTGGGAACTAGCAAGAGATGTTCTACAAACTGAGTTACGTGCAATATCCATGTGGGATGCACACAAGAAGCWGAGCCCCACCACCTAGCACCAAAATGTAGGACCAAGGAAAAGAATTGAAGAGCCAGGGTACAAAGTCAGAACTGCAGCTTGGAGGTTTATTTTTGCGCAGTTAGAAAGCAGTGCAGAAAGAGCCTTTCTGAGCACCTATAGCAAAATACACAGGGTGTCTGAACAGCTGAGAGGTCTTCCTCATTCATCTTAGTGAAAATTCACATCCCAATCTTGCCAGCCTTGACACAGTTATAATTTCCTCCTAGCCTTAAATCTCTGTGCCTGAGTTCTCCCAGCCTTTGGAAAGGTCTCACTGAGAAAAATAAGCCTGCTCCCTGTCAGGCTGACTGATCCCATGAACCAGCTGAAGATTACAGTCTTCACAAACCCAACCCCAGCAGCTTGAGAGACAAAACTCATGTTTTGAAAGAAAAAACATTAGGCAAAGGCTGCCCTCGATGCTACCAGCTGCATTCAAATGAGATGAAGACTCTCCTGTTTGACAGTAGAGGTTCAGCTGCATCCTACTAACAAACAGTGCAGAGAAGCACAAATGAGCAGCTCACCTCTGATTTTGGCATCACCCTATTGTTATTATTCCACTAGAAGTTTTAATCAAGAGGTAATGTAGCAACGATAATGTAGTATTTTATAGGCTGATGGACTCCACAGTATAGTGGCTCATGTCCCTCAAACTTAGAACTATAGCCACCTTCTCCTTATTCTATAGCCTAATAAAAATAATCACCAAATTCCCAAGGCTAAACCATTCTCCCTGCACTTCTTTTTCTATACATATCTTATAAGCCAGAGCTTGTAAGACGTCACAGTTTACAGCTTTAGAAAGAAAGGTAAAAAGAAATAAATGGGACAGCTAAGAAGTGTTTTTATGATCCAAAATTTCAACGTTTCTGGCCCCTGCACTACAAATTGGTTCAAATCTCTCTCACTCTGGTAACAACCTAATTGACTCTCTTGTAAAGTTTATTGTGAGTGGGATTCTGTTGCTTCGAAGTAAAGATTTCCAGGTCTTTGTTACATGAGCCATAACTGCTAAAGTCTTTTGCATTTCCTAAGAGAAAGGAACACTTGAAAGAGAGGCTTTGTACAATGCAATATAAGAAAAGAACATWTGAACTACACGGCCAAAGGATTGTGTGACGAATCCTTCACACTATCTCCGGGTTTGGGTGTCAAATGGTCTCAGATAAACAGGTAACTTCTATCAATCATTATTACACAAAGCCAGGGGGATAAAAAAGCTTCTCCCKTAGAAACAGAGTCAGTTTTCTTCCCAGGTCAACACAGCTTTTAAGTATTCTCCAAGAAGAGACTAGGTACAACTCTCACTGGACTAGCTGTTCTGTGCAGACACAGAGGGATGCACTCAGAGAACATCGACACTCCTCTTGGCCATGCACGTTCTTACCGTTCATCTGTCCTGGTTTGTCTTTGACCCTTCAAAATAAGGGTCAATGCCAGTTCCTTAACATCACCATCCTCTCTGACCTTAAGGACAATGTACTTAAATGATACACAGATGCCCACTCACATACCTCCATCATCTGACATTGCAATGCTGAGAATTTGATTCAAGCCTCAACTACTAGATTCAACTCCAGAAGAAGCAGAAGATGGTGTATTTGAAATGGATACTTCTGGAGATAAAACACCACTTGTTTAATCTTCTGCTTTTAAGGCAGTCTCCCAATTTTGGACTTTGGAAGAGAAAAGGGAGAKAGACACAAAGCAATTTTTTTAGGAAATGGTATATGCATCCTGGGATCTTAACAGAAAGAAATTGGCTCCTCAGAGGGTGATTCAAGCTGGAGTCATCCTTTCTTCCCAAGGGGTGCATACAAGGACTGTTTGGAGCAGTTGGCTCTGTGTTTAGACTGTGTTGTAGGCTAAAATAATTCTTTAAAGAATTGAATAAATAGGAAATCTAATGATTGTAGTTTTGCCACTGAAGCATTGAGGCCGTTTTCCAGTGTTATTTTAAATAGCTCTCAATGACGGTGAAGTTGGCATTCTGTAATTATTATCTCAAGCCTTGCAGCTAAGTACACAAGGCACCACTGATATCAGACGAGAAAGGTGTGAACAAGGAGGCACTCGCCTATGGGACTGCAAGATGCGTACCATGAACTGAGCATGTGACACTGATCAGAACTAAAGCCAATTACAAGCCCAGGTAAAACAGTTCATCCTTTGAGGGCTGGGTGCCCTTCTCCCCTCAGTGAACTGCCCCAAACAAGCAGAGCTGGAGGGTGCAACTCACCAGTAAAACCTGTTTGGAGTGACGCGCTCGTGCATGAGCTGCCATTTTCTTCCAAAGTCCATGGAGCTGTACAGCTGAAAGACAGAAACAGAAGGAGAATAAATTCTGAGGAAGAACAGAAAAGACYGCTGCTCCATCAAGGATTAAAATCAGCTCAAGGAGCAGGAATGGATTATCCTGTACAGTTATCTATCAACCTCACTGCTGGGGAAGGCTAATAAGGCAATCTCCTGCTCACACATTTACCCCAGACGGAACCACTGAGGCTCAAAGCAGGTTGGTGTTTCAAAACCTTCTCGCACATTTCTGCGCTTCCTCATTTCAGCTGTCAACACATTCCCTCCTGCTGCCATATGACAAAGCTGGCGGCTCCCCTGGCTTTTTCAGCCCAACAGGAAGCTAGTGATTGATGGCATATAAATTCTTAACATCAAATGGGATGAAAGGCAAATCAGATTAGCTAGCCTGACTATGATGTGGTAGGTAGTGACTCTACACTCAAGGTCATTTTGTGATTCATTTTTAGGGTGAAGATTACATCTCTTTTCTGCGTGGGAAAGAAAACTGCTCCTAATTTACAACTCCTATGTTCAAAACAAGGTCTAAATTCTGAGATACGTTGGAAATCAATCTACTCAGTAGTTAAATGTTCAAGATAGTGAAGTAACTCTTCTTAAAAGGCAAATTTTCAATTTAATGCTCATTTTGTGTCTTCCCAGCTAACAAACGGCACAATTGTAATGAAACCAAATGTCAGTGCAACTCCAGACTAAGTCTCAGATGTGTGCTTTTTACATATACACCGTTTAATATCACAAACACCACCTTTCTCCATATAGTTAATCACCCACAGCGCACTCACTCATGGTTATATATAAGTGCCTTTCCCCCAGGCTTGAGCAATTTTTTTTCCAGAAATAAAATTCCCTTTGAGAAACAGCCTCTCTGCTTTACAATAAGATCACAAAGAAAAAATAATAAAAAGGCAGTGTTTTGAACTGGATTTCAAATAAATTTCATSTAAATCAATTCTAGCTTAATAAAATGAAGGTTGATTGCATACTAAAAAGACAATAGGAATCAAGAATCTTATATGCTTGTAATACCCAAACTAAGTCTTTAACAGGAAAAYATCAGCATGTAAGTAAAGGCAGTGCATTTGATTTTGAGCATGTGGCTTTATGAATCAGAGACAGGTCCATGTTCAGATTAGAAGGGTCCTCAACCCAGTGCTAGGTACTGTGGAGCAGCTGTGATGGAGATAAGCCATAATACACATAAGCTGTATGTGCTTGCACTGAATATTACAGTTTCTTTATGGGTAATAGTTTTGATTAGAGATCCAGCAGGCACTGGTCCATAGAAMAGCCCTATCAACGGAGATGGGGCAGGGCTGCTGCTTGAGCAGTGTCTGAAGGCTGAGCAGCTGATTAATTCCTTCTGTGTTTGCACTCACCTCTGCAATCAAATCACTGCACTGTACACCTAGCAAAAGAAAAGGCAAAAACTAAAACCCTATCAAATTCCTGATGCAATTGGGTTGTGTAAAGACAAAAGAATTCACCCATCGTATTTCTGCCAACGTGCAGTCCTAATTCTGACAATTTGAGCTACCAGCAAATAAAACACATTAGGGCAAAACAGATGCAAGCAGGTGCCTTCCAATCCTTCTGTCAAGATGGGCTCTACTTATGTAGGCTTCACTTAAGCCACCATCAGGAAGTTTGTGGTGAGAATCATTAGGTAAGACCTTATGCCCTGGGTTGTTCAAGGAAGCAGACACGATCTGAGCTGGCCTATCTAGTCTTATTTCTTTCTTTGTCACCAGATCAGATGCAGCTCCAAATAACTATACATTATCTGGACCAACTCTCCTTTTTTTTTTTTTGGTCACTTATCACAGTGATAAAGCTATATAAAGCCATTAGAGAAACCTCTACCCCAAAAGGAACTCTCCGTAGATTAAAAAGCATCATTTCTTTTAATTTAAAAAAGCTGGGAAAAGAAGACTATCCAAACTCCAGGATGGGTTTATGAAGCCAGCATCAATATTAAGAAAAGTACCTTTTCAGAGAACATTCTGATTAAGGAAAATTTTTAAAAACAGTAACTGAAAATCCACAGTGCAGAAGTCAAAACTCCGCCACGTTTCYGCTCTGCCTTCAGCGCTCCGCAGCAACGCTCCCTGGGCCGCCCGCTGGGTTTCACACGGCCGGGATCTCTGCATGCAGAGCAGCACCAAGGGACTCGGCAGCCTGAAACGGGGCCGCGGGGCCACGCGAGCCACCGGCTCCGGGCAGCGCAGCCCGACTTACCTCCCCTGCGCCAGCAGGTCTGGCATCCTGACTGCGTTTTGGAACGGATCAACCGTTCTCACCACGAGAGCAAAAGGATCAGCAAAATACAACCATTTCCCTAGATTCTCTGTTATCTTTCGCCCCTAGCWTTTCTTTCTCTGTTGCAGCGCTACAGCAGCAGTAGCTGTGGACAGCTCAGCGGCAAGAATCACAGTCTCCTTGCAGCTACTTATCTCTCCCACGGCGTCTCATTCAGGGAACATCCTTCTCTCTATCAAGTTAAAAACCAGGGCCCTGCTGCCAAGGACTTGTTGGGGTTTTTTTTTGTTTTTTTTGTTTTTTTTTTTTCTTCTTCTTTCTATTAGATTTCAGGTTGGTGGATGGTAGAAAAATTAAATTGAACTTGCAGCCTTTAGGTGAATTCAGATAAAGTGATAAGGAGGATATTATTCATTTGAAGAACCTCTATTTATTTATTCACCTATGTATTCTAGGCATCTACTTTGAATTTTGAACAGAAGCAAAATGATTGAGACTTGAAGCTGTATGACAGACCAAGCTGCTGACAACCCTCTCTGGCCTTTTTCAGTTGTATACTATTATTTACAGATGCAAAGGTTAATGTTGAATAAAACACACAAGACTTTTGAAGGCCTAAAATTGATTACACACACACACACACACACACACACACACATACCTTCTGCTCACCAACCTTCTCCTAAAAGATGCTTTTAGAGGAGACAACAAATTTAGTGGCAAGTACAGCAGATTTCAATAGAGATTAATTTGCCCTGAGGTTGAATACCAACTGATGGAAGGAAATTAGGTTTGTTCAGTGCCAAGATTTTCCATTTTCAGAGATCTGCCCTGGCTCTTTAGAGACAAATAATCTTCAGCATTTTTACCTCCCAGAGAACTGCAACACATCAGCTCCCATGATGGATGGATTTCAGCCCACCACGAGGGTGCACCGTTAGGGTATAACCTTTTTGCAAATCCCATGTGTCATTTGAGCTGTTCTGATGAATGGAAAATTAACTCCATTACAGGCCATAATATTTCTATGGGTTGGTCCTCAGTGAAAGTTCATCCTCGTGACTTGAAACAGTTGAAGAGCAGCACACAGAGGGCTTAATAAGGCAACAGTTCAGGAGCAGGACCCAGAATGGAAGGACAAAATCTCATCTTGAGGCAAGGATGACAAAATTCCGTTTGGAACATGCAAATCAGCCTCCTAYAGCTGCCCCCCAGGCACCTAGGCACATGCAGCTACTGCACTCAGCCTGGCTACCTCTGCTCCTCTTGGAAGAGCCACATTCCAAGAGCCTCCTCAAGGCAGAGGTGCGGTGGAGAATGGGCACTTGATGTTCAAATTCCCTGGTGAGCCCACCTGAATGATGCTTATAAATCCCACCTACTCATGCAGCAGCCAACAGTCGAATTGCACCAGGAATARAACTGTACTGGTGCTATATGTCAAACACATATATGTTTTAACATATTGCAGGCACAATGGAGCATCCGAGCTATTGCCCTGAAAGCAGCAGGCTGGTCAGCCTAGAGCAGGATCCAAGGGCAGCTCTGCCTTCACACTGGGCCTTGAAGTCACCCCAGCTGCCACAGCCCTGGGAAGCGCAAGATCCAACAGGTGCTGAGCACTGACAGCAATCTGGGATGCCCGCWAGAGTTGAAGTTTAACACAAAGAAAAGGTCGTAAATCAAGACAGTTTGCTCCAAATGTTCCTCCAAAGAGCAGGACGCTGCTCTGCACACATGGGCTGTAACACCAGACATCACATCCACTGACTCAGTCCTGGCTTTAACCATGAACATGTAGTCTCTAGGAGACCTAAGCAGCCCAAGTGACACACAGCTTGACTTTGCCATAGGCCAGGCCCTTGGCTCATGCTGGCCTTGCTCAGCACAACTCTGAATAACAAAAAATACTACCTCTTCAAGCTCTAAAAAGCACTTGAAGCATTTTGTCTAGTACTAATAACATCTGTGAGTGATAAAGAGCAAGAAGGGAGTTTTAGGCCTGAGGTCACCTTCCATACCATGAACAGAGGCAACACATCAGGACTACTGTCYTTCCCACAGGGCTGGGCAAAAAGACCTCACACACAGACCCACAACGTTGTGGATGGTAACACCTCCATGCTGCCGCAGCGCTCAGGCAACACGCCCTGCTTGCGTCCATGATCCTGTCTGGCGCTGGGATCATCTGTTTCGGGTGTTCTGTCTATTTTCCCAGTGGGATCTGTCAAAAAAGTATAAAAAGCTGATTCTGCTCAAGAAGTCCTACTTCTCAGAACTGGATCAGCAGGAGATTTCACTTACTGACATCGGTAAGAAGACTGAACAGCAAGGGAAAAACCTGGTCCCAGCAGGAATGGATTCAACATCCTAGTATTAGTCACCCACCTTCGAGCTATTTGCCAGAGCGTGTTTATAGGCTGGAGGAAAAGAAGCTCTTCTAAAGAACAATTCCCACCCTAAGGTCTACTTCTGAAATTGCTTATTGCTCATGCCCATTTCTCTCCGCAGATGCCAGAAGTTCAAAGTAGCCATTTAAGAGAATGCTGCCCATTGAGGGGAGCAAGTGAATGATTTAGGTGAAATGAATTTCGTGTTAGGCCTCCTGTTCCCATGCTAATCTGCACATTCCTCATGGGGGGAGCAGGCAGAAGACTGGAGATTCAGCAGGAGCTCAGAAACAGCCAAGCACCCAATAGCCTGGGTACACTTCACCACAGCGAGTGGCACCCTGAAGA